ACGTCTTGGTTCTGTGGGACGGGTGGATCACCTAGCGGTGCTTGTAGGACATAATCTTTCTTGGCAGCTATGAGGATGATCCTCAGGTTTCGGACCCAGTCCGTATAGTTGCTGCCATCGTCTTTCAGCTTGGTTTTCTCTAGGAACGCGTTGAAGTTGAGGACTACGTTGGCCATTTGATCTACAAGACATATTGTAAATATTTTAGACTAAGTTCATGATAATTAAGTTCATCTAATCAAATTATTCAATGAACTCCCACTTAGATAGACATCCCTCTTCTAGTCATCTAAGTATAACATGATCCGAGTCAACTAGGCCATGTCCGATCATCACGTGAGACGGACTAGTCAACGTCGGTGAACATCTTCATGTTGATCGTATCTTCTATACGACTCATGCTCGACCTTTCGGTCTTCTGTGTTCCGAGGCCATGTCTATACACATGCTAGGCTCGTCAAGTCAACCTAAGTGTTTGCTTGTGTAAATCTGTTTTACACCCGTTGTATGTGAACGTTTGAATCAAACACCCGATCATCACGTGGTGCATTGAAACAACGAACTGTCACAACGGTGCGCAGTTAGGGGGAACACTTTCTTGAAATTATTATGAGGGATCATCTTATTTACTACCGTCGTCCTAAGTAAACAAGATGCAAAACATGATAAACATCAAATGCAATCAAATAATAATAGTGACATGATATGGCCAATATCACATAGCTCCTTTGATCTCCATCTTCGGGCTCCATCATCATCTTGTCACCGGCATGACACCATGATCTCCATCATCATGATCTCCATCATTGTGTCTCCATGAAGTTGCTCGCCAACTATTACTTCTACTACTATGGCTAACACGTTTAGCAATAAAGTAAAGTAATTTACATGGCGTTTCTCAATGACACACAGGTCATACAAAAATAAAGACAACTCCTATGGCTCTTGCCGGTTGTCATACTCATCGACATGCAAGTCGTGATTCCTATTACAATAGCATGAACAACTCATACATCACATATATATCATTCATCATTCATCACAACTTTGGCCATATCATATCACAAAGCACTTGCTGCAAAAACAAGTTAGACATCCTCTAATTGTTGTTGCATGTTTTACGTGGCTGAAGTAGGGTTCTAGCAAGAACGTTTTCTTACCTACGTGAAAGCCACAACGTGATTTGTCAACTTCTATTTACCCTTCATAAGGACCCTTTTCATCGAATCCGCTCCAACTAAAGTAGGAGAGACAGACATCCGCCAGCCACCTTATGCAACTAGTGCATGTTAGTCGGTGGAACCGGTCTCACGTAAGCGTACGTGTAAGGTTGGTCCGGGCCGCTTCATCCCACAATGCCGTTGAAGCAAGATAAGACTAGTAGCGGCAAGAAAGTTGACAACATCTACGCCCACAACAAATTGTGTTCTACTCGCGCAAGAAGAACTACGCATAGACCTAGCTCATGATGCCACTGTTGGGGAACGTTGCAGAAAACAAAAATTTTCCTACGGTTTCACCAAGATCCATCTATGAGTTCATCTAGCAACGAGCGATCGGATGCATCTACATACCTTTGTAGATCGCGAGCGGAAGCGTTCAAAGAACGGGTTGAGGTAGTCGAACACGACGTGATCCAAATCACAGGAGATCCTAGCACCGAACGGATGGCACCTCCGCGTTCAACACACATACGGTCAGCGTAACGTCTCCTTCTTCTTGATCCAGCAAGAGGGAAGGAGAGGTTGAGGAAGATGGCTCCAGCAGCAACACGACGGTGTGGTGATGGTGGAGCTGCAGTACTCCGTCAGGGCTTCGCCAAGCACTATGGAGGAGGAGGAGGTGTTGGAGAGGGAGAAGGAGGCAACCAAAGGCGTGGATGAAAAGCCCTCCTTCCCCCACTATATATAGGAGGGCCAAGGGGGGGGGGGGGGCGCCGGCCCTAGGAGATCCAATCTCCTAGGGGGGCGGCGGCCAAGGGAGGTTTCCCTCCCCCCCAAGGCACCTAGGAGGTGCCTTCCACTAGTGGGACTCTTCCCTTTTGTGAACCCTAGGCGCATGGGCCTTTTGGGGCTGGTTCCCTTGGCCCATGTAGGCCAAGGCGCACCCCCTACAGCCCATGTGCCCCCCCGGGGCAGGTGGCCCCACCCAGTGGATCCCCGGGACCCTTCCGGTGGTCCCGGTACAATACCGATAACCCCGAAACTTGTCCCGATGGCCGAAATAGCACTTCCTATATATAATTATTTACCTCCGGACCACTCTGGAACTCCTCGTGACGTTCGGGATCTCATCCGGGACTCCGAACAACATTCGGGTTACTGCATATACATATCCCTACAACCCTAGCGTCACCGAACCTTAAGTGTGTAGACCCTACGGGTTCGGGAGACATGCAGACATGACCGAGACGCCTCTCCGGTCAATAACCAACAGCGGGATCTGGATACCCATGTTGGCTCCCACATGCTCCACGATGATCTCATCGGATGAACCACGATGTCAAGGATTCAAGCAACCCCGTATGCAATTCCCTTTGTCAATCGATATGTTACTTGCCCGAGATTCGATCGTCGGTATCCCCATACCTTGTTCAATCTCGTTACCGGCAAGTCACTTTACTCGTACCGTAATGCATGATCCCGTGACCAGACACTTGGTCACTTTGAGCTCATTATGATGATGCATTACCGAGTGGGCCCAGTGATACCTCTCCGTCATACGGAGTGACAAATCCCAGTCTTGATCCATGTCAACCCAACAGACACTTTCGGAGATACCCGTAGTCTACCTTTATAGTCACCCAGTTACGTTGTGACGTTTGGTATACCCAAAGCACTCCTACGGTATCCGGAAGTTACACGATCTCATGGTCTAAGGAAAAGATACTTGACATTGGAAAACTCTAGCAAACGAACTATACGATCTTATGCTATGTTTTAGGATTGGGTCTTGTCCATCACATCATTCTCCTAATGATGTGATCTCGTTATCAATGACATCCAATGTCCATAGTCAGGAAACCATGACTATTTGTTGATCAACGAGCTAGTCAACTAGAGGCTTACTAGGGACATGTTGGTGTCTGTTATTCACACATGTATTACGATTTCCGGATAACATAATTATAGCATGAATAAAGACAATTACCATGAACAAGGAAATATAATAATAATGCTTTTATTATTGCCTCTAGGGCATATTTCCAACATAGAAGGGGGAAGGGATGGAGACGCGGGGTTAGGGTGTGGCTTTGGGTGTGCCATGGGTGTCGGAGTCCTGCGTAGCGGGGGCCCGGACTCCTGCAAAGCCCCCCTATTATTTTTTCGATTTGCGGGAAAATGGATGAGCAGACGGGTCCACGGACCGATATGAGACGTCACTGGATGGCAAATTGTGTCCGGACAGTTCTGTCCGAATGTTTGCAGGCTATTTGAGTGTCTGCTTTGAAGATGCCCTTAGGTGTCCTACTTTGTAATCTTCCACTTCAGATCAAACTTGTTTTTCAATGTTATTATGTTATAAAGCGGACATTGCTAACGAAGCTCCGGCTCCATGGAACCTGAATCTTGATTAAGAAGACCAACTTTTAAGTTTCAAAAAGTTGCGGATTTTTTGTACATATGTATATAGGAATGCATACGGTATATGTTTGTAAAGTTTCTTGATTAGTATAAAGTTCATGAATCCCTGTGTGTGTAGATCATATTAAAAGCGTGTTTTATCATGAACACATGAAGCACACATCCCCATGTAGTACATGTGCATTTTCTTTAAATGATGACTTAAAAAAAGTTGGTTTTCCATTTTTTGCAAAAAATTCATGGCAGTGGCAGGAGCGACCTCCCCCATATGCACGGTGCCGAGGATGCGATGCATCGTCCCGGCGCGCGGGTCCCCGCTCGCAGCCGGCGGAGTGAGCGCGCGGGCGATGGGGACGACCGGCCTCACACTCACAGGTGAGCTCCGGCTCATCTCCTCTGCTTTCCGATCATCAAAGCCCTAGTTGTCCGTCGAAATCGATTTGGGGTGGGTTAAGAGTTAGATTTCTCGCGCTCCTCTCCATTACTTTGGTAGATTGATGAACCCGGTTGGAAACTTTCTCGCCTGAGGCTGTCTTTAATCGATCCGACGGGTCCTGATACAGAGCTGGGTTGGGTGCCGTCGCCGTGCAGGTCTGTGCGGCCGGCGTAGTAGAGCCGGACACATCCATGCAGTTAAATACTGCGCCTATGTTATCATAGAGAAAAAAACAGACCTGAAATCGCCGAGCAACACAAACAAATTTCGAGCGATTCTTCTCGCCATCTCCAGCAGGGTATGTATCGGATTACTGATTTCGAGCACCTACGGAAAATCCTTACAGGATTAGGTGGAGGATTAGGAGAAAATCAGGGGGCTTTGGTCGCTTAGAAGTTAGATCTCGCTCTGTCTTTACATCATGATATGATGATTTCGCTTTATTCGCTGGGTTCAGGAGGTTGTTCCTGTCCAAAGGAACACAAATCTGTTCTTTTTTACATGTTATAACTTGATGCTTATCCATGCTGAAATTGCAACTGCAAGTCACCGTCTGCCAGTGTTTCAGATTATGGGCATGGGCTGCGGATTCAATTTCGAGCCACTTAAATTAGGGTTGTGATTGCTGTTGCCGTTGTTGAATACAGTTACACTGTCCGACCGGGTTAATTTTTATGTGTCGCAGGTTGCAAAGAATTTTTCCTGCTTTCAGGGCCCCTGCTGCAGATACACCGTCTGGAGCAGGTATCTTACATGACTGCTGTGATTCTCTGTCCACCACACACATGAACTACGGCCGAGGTAGTAAGTTTCTGCTTGCTCCTTAATCAATGCAGGTAGCGTGCTTAGAAATCTACAGCCGAGGTGCCGGTCAAGCTTTGTTGGCGGGTGTGCACTTTGGCGCCGCTTCTTCTTTCCAGGGAGATTCATAGGAGCTTCTTCTTTCCAGGGAGACTCATAGGAGTGATCCAGAAACAGTTATGCAGAACTTCATCAAATGGCTACATCAAGGTAGCCGCCTTTTCTTTCGCCACGTTTACTAGCTAGGAGTAGGTTGAGCTTTTACCCGTAAATGACGGTTGGCTTGACAACTTTTGTGCGCACGGATGGATTCTTATTCTCTATGCAGGAATTTCAATTTCAAGTGCACCAAGGGTGGAAGGGCCTGCCCTTGGTACATCTAGTGCACCCTACTACATAATAGACAAAGGCTTATTTCAGAAGCACCTTCTGCGTACCTGTCGAGGCGTTATAGTTGCTGCCTTTACAATCTATGGCATCAAGGTCTTGATTACCAGTTTCGCTAAGGCCGTGGCAGAGAGTTCCGACGACACAGAATTTGGTACCAAATTCGATGGTTCGAAAGAGGTGGCTACGGATTTAGGCACAAAATTCAGTGATGTCAAGGGGGTTGACGAAGCCAAAGCTGACCTTGAGGACATAGTTCACTACCTACGAGATCCTGACGTGAGTATGGCATTACTACCATCGACCATCGACCTGCGGGCTAGGTGTTTTCATTCAACAATTCTTTCTTGATGCTGAGTTGACCTAGATTTACATGCTTTGCAGAGTTTCACTCGCCTTGGTGGCAAGCTTCCAAAGGGTCTTTTGCTTGTGGGCCCACCCGGCACAGGGAAGACCATGTTGGCAAGAGCTGTGGCCGGGGAAGCCGGCGTCCCCTTCTTCGCGTGCAGTGGCAGTGATTTCGACGAGGTGTATGTGGGCACTGGGGCTAAGAGAGTGCGGGAGCTCTTTCGTGCAGCAAAGAAGCGATCTCCTTGCATAATATTCATCGATGAGATCGATGCCGTTGCTGGGCGCAGAAACGCATTAGACCCGTCGTGGACGAGGCAGACCATGAACCAGCTGCTTTCTGAGATGGACGGCTTCAAGCAGAATGACGGGATCATCGTGATCGCAGCGACCAACTGCCCAGAGTCGCTAGACCAAGCCATTGTCAGGCCTGGGCGTCTTGATCGTCAAGTCCATGTTCCTACTCTAGATGTTGAGGGCCGACGACAGATTCTTGAGGCTTACATGTCAAAGGTAGCTTACTTATTTTTCGCGGTATCGATGTCAGGCTTTCACCCTTTCTCAATGAGTTCTTCTATGCAGGTGTGTAAAGCTGAGGGTGTGGATGTGATGACCATTGCGAGGGGGACGCCTGGGTTCTCAGGTGCAGAGCTTGCAAACCTAGTGAATGACGCCACTCTCAAGGCTTCCAGGGATGGCGCAGATGCTGTTGGGATGGATCACCTCGAGTACGCCAAGGACAGGATCATCATGGGCAGCGAGCGCAAGTCAGCAGTGATATCTGATCATTCCAGGAAGATGACTGCCTACCATGAGGGAGGGCACGCCCTTGTTGCTATCCTCACGGACGGCGCTGACCCTGTCCACAAGGCCACAATTATGCCAAGGGGAAATGCTCTCGGCATGGTGACACAACTGCCAGGGGAAGACAGCGAGCTGGAACTCTCGAGGAAGCAGATGCTGGCAAGGCTGGATGTCCTCATGGGAGGGCGGGTGGCCGAGGAGCTTATATTTGGAGAAACCGGGATCACAACTGGTGCCTCATCTGACCTGAGCAAGGCGACTAAATTGGCGAAAGACATGGTCACCAGATATGGTATGAGCAAGCGGGTCGGCCTTGTTTCTTATGGCAACGACGGTGATGGTGGCGATGGCAAAACGACGGCCCTGGTTGCCGAAGAGGTGAAAGCATTATTGGACAACGCTCACAAGAATGCAAAAGCGATTCTCACGGAGCACAACAAGGAGTTTCATGCGCTAGCAAATGCCCTCCTGAAGCATGGAACTCTCACTGGTGAAGATATGGTGAAACTAGTATTGACAGGACAAGAACCAGATGATCTTAGCATTAGCCAGCAGAATCAGGAAACACCTTCACTCACTGTTGCTGAGATCACAAATCTAGTGTCGACAGAAGAACAAGTGGATGATCTTAACAATTGTCAGCAGGACCAGGGAAAATCTCCTCTCACTGGTGACAAGAGCACCAAACCAGTATCGACAGAAGAACAAGGAGATGGAACTCTCACCGGCAACGAGATCACGGAACTGGTGTCGACAGACCAACAAGTAGGTGATGCTAACAATGGTGAGCAGGTACAGGGAAGCACCTTCTTCGCCCTAGGCGTGGAGGCGCTTCCAAGAGTACTTCCGTTCCTGATACTTCTGTTGTAAGCACACGAAATGTAAAGAGTAATCGATGTGTACGGTCTGGATTTCTCCAGCTAGTGTTTCTCAAGTCTGACTATAATGGGACGTGTTTTAATTTGTAGTTTTACATACTGTGTTCTGAACCTGTAAAACCTCTTGTTTTGGGTCTAAAGCATGAATGTGCCCCAATATTTCTATCGGAAATGCAATAGTGTTGCTGTGAATGGGCAAAGATATCTAAATGCAATCTCATACATTTTTCCCCAGCCGCAAAACATTATAGAAAATACCATTAGGCGCTTCCATAAATGTATCATGTGCGCCAGTGACTAACTATATAAGTCTGTAACCTATTGTCTGCGTGTAAAAAAAGATATGACCTTGTCTCTGATCCTCTATTTGTCTTATTCATTGGTTGCATTTGATTCTCAATATCATTCAATAAGTCCATATTAGTCTCCTGAACTTTGGTCGGGGTTTAACCCTCGACCAAAACCGCTTTCAAAACATGTTGGTTTTCGTTGAGGGTTTAACCCTCTCGACCGTAACCGTTGAAACTTTCTACCCTGTGTAAGATTAAGTTAATCAACCAGCGGGGGAGGGGTGAATGGGAGGTTACGAAAGATTCTTCGAGAAAAACTAGCTCTTCGAAGAAAAAATAGAGTAAACATAACAAAATCAGAACAGTATGAAGAGATACTGAAGAATAACTTTAGCTTAGCATGCAATCTGAACTGATACAAAGACAACAGTACAGAGGAGAGCATGACAACGAGTCGATCAAAGAGACAGAAACACTTCAATACGATGAAACTTATGTACAAAACTAAGCACTGAGCAAAGCAGCGGAATATTCAACAAAGTCTTCAGAGAGGGAAGGAAGCAATTCTTTTTTTTCCCTGGAAAACCTCTGATCTATTCATCTTCAGTCATGGCAGTACAACGAACACAAAAATTAATAACATTTAGATCCATAGATCACCTAGTAACAACTACAAACACTGAAGGTAGCCGAAGGCACGCCGTCATCATCGCCTCTTCCTCGCCAGAGCCGGACGAAACTTGTTTTACTAGACAGTCGGGAAGTCATCACGCTAAGACCCCATAAGACCAGCGCACCAGAAGAACAACCGTTGTCATTGAAGAATAGCGTAAATCGGAAGGATCCAACCTGAAAACACGGGAACGTAAACGAACTACGACCAGAACCGAGAAAATCTTGCAAGGACAGATCCACCGGAGACACACCTCCACACGCCCATCGATAATGCTAGACGCACCACCGGGACGGGGGCTAGGAGGGGAGAACTTTATTCCATCTTTAAGAAGTCGGCGCTGTCTCGTCTTCATAAGTAAGATACAAACCCTAACAGAACTCAAAGAAACATCTAAAAACGGAGCCCTCCCGCCAGAAAGGACCAAGATCCACCGCGCTGCCATGGCCCTAAGGCAACCGAAGACGAGGCGGACCGACGGCAGCGCTGGCGGGAGGCAGAGGAACCCTAGGCTATTTATTGGAAGAGGAGGCGGCCTCTCCAGACCCTGTTCAAGTAAGCAATTTCTTCGGAGACACGGAGCCCGCCAGGACGACGCCCGTCGCCTTCGTCATCAAATAGGCGCCATGGAGGATGGAGGTGTGGAGCTCCCGAGGATGTCGTCGGCATGTTGCGGAGTATGGCGGCACGGAGCCCGCCAAGACGACACCCATCATCAACATCATCAAGCCGGTGCCGAGGTGGACTGAGGCATGGAGCTCGCGGGACGACACCACCGATGTCTACCTCATCAAGACGGATCCCGTGACCCGGAGCCCATGAAGATGACACACGTCCCCGGTGCTGCCTGCAACACGGAGCCCGCGATACGAACATGGTGCTACGCGATGACACGTCTTCACCGGCCCTTACCACGATCTCGTGATGTGTTTCCTTTGTCTTGGCGGACCACCGAATACGGCGTCCAACCGAGACAAGGTGCACTCTTCATCATGGCGTACAGGTCTCGGCGTACAGGCATCGTGCTCCTTGTATTAGCAGACCACCGAATACGGCGTCTAGTTAGGACGAGGCATCAACCACGCCCTTCCACGATGTCACCTTTCTTCGGCACCGCGATGCTTTGCCCTTGTCTTGGTGGACCATCGAATACGGTGTCCAGCCGAGACAAGGTGCGTCCTTCGTTGCACACATGTCCTGTCACCGTACAGACGACCTGCTCTTTGTCTTAGTAGACCACCGAATACGGCGTCTAGCTGAGACGAGGCATCCACCGCGCCCCTCTAAGATGTTACCTTTCACGGCCTCGTGAGGCGGAGTCTTTGTCTCCGCAGACTGCCGTAACCTCGACGTCTAGTCAAGATGCCGAAAAAGGGTTTCCCCCCGCTTTGTATTACAAAGCAACAACATCGATACAACCCACGATAGGTGCTGGGGCGGAAGCAGCACAGGCACGCCCAAAAGAAAAAAAGAGAAAACACAAAAGGAAAAAAAAATGCCGACAACGGCGGATCAACAAAAACGAAGATGACTCGCCACCGCTGCGCCCGCCGGAGAGTTCCACCACGCTCCTAGCACCACGAAACGCCGCATACCAAGTAACACCTTCAAGAAGGAACGCGACGACAACGACGCTGCTACCGGACATGGCCTAGGGTTTCCCCCGGTACGCGAAGGGCCGTGGGAGGGAGGGGGATATCCGACGCCCTTCAGGAAGGCACGGCGACGCCCACGGGCGTCACCGCGTCGGTGCCGAACAAGCCGACAAGGATTTCTCCCAACCTCCTACCAACCACGACCCCAGACGATCCATCGCGCTCCACCATACTTGCCGTCCACCAATATGCGCCACCACGGACACGCAGTCACCATCGCCGTCTCACCGTGACAAGCGAAGCGAGACCGGCGGGATCGAGAGGAACCAGCCGAAAACGAGGAGCAGCAGGGTTAGCGGCCACGTGGGAGGGGACAACCTCCACCACCCTCGGCGGTGACCGACCGGACGTAGCTCAGGAGCAAACCAGGCACCCCTGCCCGGCCGAGCCCGAAGCGGGCTCGTGAAGCTCCCGTCGCTGCGCTGCAGTACACGCGCCACCGTCTCCGCCACCCCCAGCCCAAGCCACACCTCCGTCCGCCGGAGATGACGCCGGAAAGCACACGCCAGGCCCACCCAGACCCAGATGGGGCCCAAAAGGGCCCAGATCTGGGCCGGAAGGGCGCCGCCGCCAGCCACCGCGCCGCCCCGCAGCCAAGCAGCCACGCCACCGCCACCATGCCACCCGGAGCTGCGCCGCCTGCGAAGACGAGCCGCCACCGGATCCGAAGCCGACCTGGGTGCACCGCCGCCGGCGCCAACGCCTGAGCTACAGCACCGCGCGGGGAGGAAGAGAACAGGGC